ATCAGTTAACTCATCGATGTATGCGAAGAGTTGCGACAAATCGTATTGAATCTCCGTATTCTTCGGGAACGACTTCTTCAGGTGCTGTTCAAACATATGACACACGCCTGTCGTCCGCAATGGTATATGTGTGCAGACAATGCGTGCAAAACAAACAAACAAAGCGATTAGTAAACAATACGTGACAAAAAGCGGATCAAATGCGGTGATCCAGTGGTGGACATACCCTGAAGAGCGTCTGGGAGATTGTCATAATCGGAGTACTGTCTGGTCTCGAGTTCGCTCGCCTGCACTAACAGCACGGTGTGAGCCATAAGAGAGTGGGATGTGAGTCAAGCGATGCAAAGATAACAGACAATCAAAGACAGGGCGGACTCAAGAGGTTATGCGAAGACAATGAGTTTTTTAGGGTTAAAAACATGTGACAAATGTTTTGCCCATCAAATCAAGTATAGCTTTAAATGCGCGCAAAAATAACGGTATTCACCAAAACATGCGCTCATATTATTGGCCCCTCTATTGCCCCCCACTCTATGCGAGGCAACAGTTGGGCCCTTCAAAGCCATAGCAAAACACCCACACATTGCGCTGACCCTCGCACTCGCGTTTAGCGTAACGTTGTTTTTGAATTTGTGGGGAAAATCGGTTAAATTTGTGCGATAGATGTCAGGCATTGATGTGTTGTTTAAGTCGTATTGTAATAAATGTAACGCAAAATATACAGTAAACTGAATGTAAATGTAAAACACATTCACTTTTCAGTTCTCAATACAGTTTGCATTGCATTTGATTTAGTGTTGAATTTTCATCAAAACATGTATTGATTGCGTAAAGCATTTGTTGCCAAACAATCGTTGATTCAGTTTTCAATCAATTATTATCTTTAATAGCAATCAAATACCTCTCAAATCCATTGACCTCTCGATTCAATTGAATATATTGTATACAAAAGCGATTACTCGATCGGATCCGGAAGAATATGTTTAATGCTTTGACCCGAAGAGTGGTTCAAGACTTGAGACAATCGCCGGCTAAGCGTTTATATCACGAAAAGGTTTGCCAATCAATCGCCTAATTGTGTGTCGATATTATGTTAACCACGGATTGGTTGCGTCCGTACCGTTAGGTCATCGATCACTACGAGAACCCGCGAAACGTCGGCTCTTTCGAGAAGGGCGAGGAGCGGGTGGGCACAGGTCTGGTCGGCGCCCCCGCCTGTGGCGATGTCATGAAATTGCAGATCAAAGTGGACACAA